GAAATAGAAGAAGCACACAACCCTAGGAAAATGCAGGATTTGAATATGTTTCTAAAGTAAAAAAAAAAATCATTCTTATGAGACACTACGTAAATCCTCTAGCAGGAGCAACTCTGTCTGTAGTGAATAGCCAGTGGTAAAATGACTGCTTTGGAGACTCTCTCTCTTAACTTGGAAAAGAAACATGGAATGTAAGGTAATGTATACTTATTGGGCAATGACAGCCAGGACCATAATATTTCATAGACAATCAACACAGTATGACAGTAGTGTGAATTTTCATATTGACGTATTACAATAGTTAGTCAGCACCCTCACAAATGGCCTGAATTATCCTGTTACCCACAGTCACCCTCAGTTTGGGATTTATATTACAGTAAGAACCAACAGTGACTTGCAGAAGATTAGGAACTTTCATTTTTTTTTAGTCACACCTTGGTAATAAAATTAATCTTGTGCTTTCTCTATCTGCCCCACCAATCATTTTTTTACCCCAGATTTCCATTAACAGTTCTCTCTCTTGTATTATTCTTACTTGGATGTTGAGCATAATCTTATATGACAAATTTTCAGCTGTTTATTGTTATTGCCAATGGAACATAGGGCCTTGCACAGAGCTGGCCTGGACACTACCACTTAGCTCATTTTAATCCACACAAGTGTTGTATCCCATTGGACAATACTTAAGGTTTCACATTATTCTGATTGTCCTTAATTATTCCAGTGGTGATGCTGCCCACCTTTTATCTCACTTGTGAAGAACAGGTAGGAAGGTCTCTGTGAGCTCTAGGTCAACATAATCTCCATAGGGAGGTCGGGGAAAGCCAGAACTATATAATGGCTCCCTGAACAACAACAACAAGAATTCTTAGCAAATACATGCAGAATTTGAAACAGTGGGTTTACTACATTAATTTTTTCTCGTGATGTTATTTGTTAATCACATATTAGTATTTCATATTGTATTTTGTACAGAGTAATAGTGTTAGAAATTCATTGTTACCACTATCACCTTTATCTTTGCAATATCAACAATGCATATTTACAGTGGAGTCATAAATACCTGGTGTGTCTTGCACTTGTGAAATTAAACTGGGTTTTGTGGCAATTTTTCATTATGTCAAACAACACTTAGAATACTATTTATTTACAATGTTGTAAGCCTCATTTGCAGTTTGGGTTTTCCTGTGGAGTGGACATTCATATTAAAGTGATAACTTAATTTTATAAAGATGTATTTATTTCATCGATTTTAATTTTGTGAATATGAATGTTTTGCCTGAATGTATATGTGTGCCTTATGGAATTCAGTGCCTACAGTGGCCAAAAGAGAGTGTCAGTCTCTATTGAAACTGGAGTGCAGTTAATTGTAAGCCAGCATGTTCGTGCTGGGGAACAAACCCGGGCATCTACAACAGCGGCAATATCCTATGGCTGTGAAGACAAATACTCATTATCAAAATGGGTAGAGTGAACTTACAGATCTGTGTAAACGAGTGATGTCACACAGTAGAGGTCATTGGTTCCTACTTAATTTCTTTAACATCTCTTCTACACTGAAGGGAATTCAGGTAGACAGTGAAGTAGTCAATTGTCAAATATTCGCTACAGGTATTTCCTAGTCATTGTCATTATGGAAGTCTCCAAGGCCACAACAGGTATTAGCATGGAGCATCTTGTCAATACTTGTGGTTTTCTCTATCCTCATAGATGCTGTCAGGTAGGTCCACTGGCATGAATTTCCTAGGAATTTGCCCGGTGTCCCAGGATGTGACAATGCCAGGAATGTGGACCTTTTAAAAGCGTGCAGGGAGGTGTGATTCCATGTGTTCACTGTTGGACCATTTATCCAGAATCATGTCAAATTTCCTATGTATATGATCAACACACGAAGCAACAAATGCATAAATGAAGACATGTCTGGTGTGATTTTCTGATAAATGTTTCAATGAATTCAAATATCAGTCAGTATTAGTGTTCTCAAATATCAGATGGTATTTGCTGGGAAAGAGGTCTCAAACTGTGAATCCATGAGCTTCTTGTGTAAATGCCATCTGCCATTCAAATACCAAGCTTAACTCACACTTACTTTTGTTTGCCAATTATACTTTTTATTTTAATACTTAAAACTAATACCATGCGTTGCATGGTAATTTCCCAAGTTATACATCAACTGGAATCAATAGATATAGCAAAAACAATAGTTTAAAATTTTCAAGGGTCTCCATGTTTACAGGATTCTATCATGTATAAATTGCTTTATTGATCATGTTACTGAGCACATGTAGTTAATATTCACAGTGATGCTCTCAATACTATTAATGTATTGTAAACTCCAAATTTCTTCAGTTACAAAAAGTAATTTACTTTGTTTTTGTGATGGTTTGAATGAATAGATAGGTATATTCCCATAAACACACATGTTCGAATGCTTGGACTATAAGGGGTGTTACTATCAGAAGGTGTGGCTATGTTGGAGCAAGAATAGTCTTGTGGGAGGAAGGGTATCACAATAGGGGCAGGCTTTGACTTCTATATGCTTAGAAAATCCCAAATCTGGGACTTAGTTCACTATGTGTAGCCTGTGTATCAAGATGTAGAAATCTTAGCTCCATATCTGCCTGAAGTCTGACCTGTTTCCTGCCATGAAAATAAAGGCTTAAACCTCTGAAACTGTAATCCAGCCCCTATGAAATGTTTTTTATAAGACGTGTCGTGATCATGCTTGTCTTCACAACATCAGAAACCATAACAAAGATAAAATTTATTCTTACAAATAGAGGTATTGAATTTTGGTTTGTATTTGTTCTACTTAAGCAGATGAAGCCAGTTTTGCCCAACAATGGCAGCTGCATTCAGGGGCATTACCAGGCTACAGGGTTCTTGGTGTATCTACAAACAAACCAAAGCTTGGTACTGTAATTATTTTATTTTCTTTTTGTTCATTTTATTGTCTTTTGTTTTTAGTTAGCTTAAATGTAGCTAGTTTCGTTAAGCCTTTCTCATATTTAAAATTTTGCTTGACCCAATGCTTCTTGTCTCCATATGCCCTCTCCTGGTCCAGCTTGTCTCTTGCATACATATTATTTGCCTTCTACGCTCATACATTGTGTGTTTTTTTCCCTAACATAACCTCTCTCATCAAAACTCTTTTTAACTCTCTTGTGGGTCACATTCTAGTTACCTGGGATCACCCCGTATTCATAAATAGTTAAAAAAATTTTCCAGCACTGACAATCATAACCCACATTGACATAGAATGTAAGCTAGTGATATTTCTGGGCCTGTCTTACCTCACTTAACATAATACTTTCTACATTCTGTGTAGCCATTGCCTAGGATACTCTACAGTTCCAGTGCATGAAGATGGGAGGTGGCTAGTATCTGATAATTCCTAAGGTCACAGTTCATATCTCCACTTTGTTAAAAACATTCAGATCCCATGATTCATAGTCTGCCTCATCCCAGTTCTTGTTTGTTCTGGTGACCATCATTACATTGCTGATGATTACGTGTAACCATTGGATTTTTCCTAGGACTTCATGGTTGAGCCTGGTACTGATTCAAAGCTGCATCAGCCTAATACATTAAGGGGATCTTACCTCCTTCAGAGGATTCACACAACTTCTCCTAAAGGAACAGAGTATGGCATGTTGAGACCTTACTCTCACTTCACTGCACCGATGGACTATCTAACCCAGTGCTTTCTTTTCAATCATTTCCTGTCTAAGCCAACTCAGTGGTGCATGATTATCTGAGACACTGTTTCAATGGACACACAGAACATCATTCCTGTAGCTATTATTTATCAGATAACATTCTTCTCCTTGCCATTTATGGTAGCATTTTATGCCTTACTCTGTTGTTGTATATTCGGTGAGATTTCATCTTGCCAGTTATTTCTTTCTATCTCAGAGGCCTGACATGTGTGAGCACACATGTGTGTGTCTATGTTTTATGATTTTCACGAATCCATGTCTTAGCATGATGTAAGTTTCAAGTTAAAGAATCATTCTAATGCATTTTTTTTATTTTTAATAACTTTTCATTATCTATGACTGTTGCAGGGTAAAGGCCAAAAGACTACTCAGCATGAGCAAAGTCTAAATTGAGAGTCTGTATTCTGTGGATTTAGTTATTAAATAGAAGGAAACACTTCTCACAGTGAAGACTAAAGTTCCTCTTACAGGGAGCTTTTAAAGGTAAGCATATGAAAACAGGTGTATCCTGACTGACAGCTGTCAGAGTTGGGTGGGTCTTAAAGCAATCAAGAACTTTAAAGGAAGCTAAAAAGAGACAGTCATTTGGGAAATTTTGACTCCCAGATTGTAGAACAATGTTGGGGACTTTTCCAAGAGAATTTTCATAAAGGGATTAGAAAATGGAGAGTTAGTTTCAGATTAAAGCAAAGATGGCTCCATGTGAGTCAAGATGAACATACCTTTGCCATGTCAAAAGATCCTAGGTGTATTCTGAGTGGTATTACAAAATTGTCACTGTATACCTTTTATTTTTAGATGATATATAAATTCAATATTAATATATTGAATTTTTGTCAAAGTCATTTAAGTTGTTTTCTTTTATATTATGACTAGACAATATCAATATAGTCTTGAAATATTGTATTTGTTCTCTAGGTTGAGAAATTTCATCGTTTTTCATGGGCAATTTATCACATCATTGTGAGTGTTTTGTTTACTATTACACATGATGGCTCTCCTTCCATCTTAAGTGCTTTCTGAGTAATTGCTCATTCTCACAAAAACATACTTATAAAGTAACTCCTGTCAAACTTTAAGATAGGTCTTTTTAATTGTTGGTGATAGCCTTGAACACCTGAACTTTTTTAGAACTTCTTTTAGCACTTGTGTGTCAGTCTCTATGTAGCCCCACCAATTAAAGGATTCATCCATCACTCAAGACTGTAAATATTACTCAGTATTTATTGACCAGAAGAATAGCAGATCCATACAATTAATGAAATTGTTCCAAACCACAGAATGGACTTTTGGAATCTGGCAATAAGCTTTATTTACTTATCACAAACTACAGCTGGGATTCTGGGAAATTTCTCCCTAATTTTCTACTATCTAGTCATTTATTGCAGAGAAAACACATTAAAGCCCACAGATTGGATTCTCACGCACCTAATGGCAGCCAATGCCTTGATCATTCTCTCTACAGGAGTGCCTCAAACAATGGCAGTTTGGGGACTGAAGCATTTCTTGAATGACTTTGGATGTAAACTACTGTTGTACTTTCAAGGACTTGGTAGGAGTGTGTCCATTGGTACCACCTGCATCTTGAGTGTCTTCCAGGCTTTGACCATTAGTCCCAGGAAATCATGTTGGAAGCGTCATAAAGTCAAAGTTGAGAAGATCACTGGCTACCACGTCTCCCTCCTTTGGATCCTGTTCATCTTGATTTTTCCATATTCGTTTGTTAATTCGGGCAGCAAAAATGTGACCAGAAAACAAGATTTTGGTTACTGCTCCATTGTAGGATGGGATGGAACTGGCCCTTCACTCTATGCAGCACTGGTGGTGTGCCCTGAAGTCTTCATTTCTGTGCTCTTGGCGTGGTCAAGTGGATCCATGATTGTCATTCTGTACAGACACAAGCAGAGGGTTCAACACATCCGCAGCACTCATGGTTCCAGCACAAAATCTCCTGAATCCAGAGTCACAGAGAATATTCTTATCCTTGTGTTTACCTTTCTGGCTTTTCACACTCTTTCTTCCATCTTAAGAGGCTACATTATTCTTTTATATAATGACAATTGGTGGTTGGTGAACACCAATCGCATCATTTCTCTCTGTTTTCCATCATTTTTACCCTTTGTTCTCATATATCGTTACTCTATTGTACCCAAAATTTCTTTGGTCTGTATAAGAAATACAAATAATCTAATCTCATTTTAACTATGAAAATGATTTATTTTCCTTGGTGTCCAGTAGTTTACTCACTAGTCACCCTCAAATTGCCAACCCAGAATGTTAAGTAGTTAGCAACTTGTCTTTTTAAGATTAGCTGAAATGGATATGAAAGTTTTGTCAACTGGTTTATTCAGAAGTCTACATGATCCAATTCTACTGTGTGATGCCCATAGTACTATTCAACTTGAACCTGTGAGAGTCTTTACTCTTCCCAGCAATATGCAAAGGAGCCAGCAAAATGCTGTCAATAAAAATTCCATTCTTGTGACTTTCATTCTGTAAGGTGATTTGGATGTTTGATGACTTGAGAGAGAGCTCTGTGCAGTATACTCTAACTGCATGAATAGTGAAATGTACCTGGCAATTAACTTGTGTGTCAGGATGCTCTTTTCCAATTACAAATGGTCCAGCCTGCACCAATACTGGAAAAAATAGGTTTAATATCTTTCACCTCTTACAAAAAACAACTCATTATGACCAAAATGATGGATGGTTTTGGTGTAATTCTGAACTTGGTTTACTTCTATTTTATAGCAATTTTAGCATCATCAGTGATATTGATTCGTATATCTTCTCTGTCAAGCAGGCTCAAATGAGAAAATCCATTTACCAGCCCAGATGTCACGAAGTGTTTTGATAAAATCATCCATTATAAATGCCATGTAATGATTGTGGATGAATGGGTCACATCTCAGTATAATGAAGCCTGCATAATATAAAACTACACTCAAGGGCTAGGACATAAAGATTTTATACACAATAGGAAAACTATGACTGATCACCTTTTGGTTATGCTTAATCTTCAAAAGTATTTTCCTTATAATACCATAATTGAGAAATGGCTTGAAAACACAATGCATTTCTTTCCTTTTGAGCCATATTTATAAAAGGAAGAGTTGTGAGGGAGAAAGTGAACAGAATAAAATTAAGACAACAGAGGACATGAGTTAAAATGGTTCTCAATGAAAATGATAGAGACTAATGTGTCAAGCATTATGTATCATTGTCAAAAGGAGTTGTATATGACTAAAATTGACCTACAAATCATTGGCAGTAGAATAGAGAGGACATAGGAAATCTTCTAAAATATTTGAGTTGGAAGGAATCATATAACAACCACATAGTAGATACAGATCATTGCCAGTGCTCTGAAGGCTAGGAAAGTCAATGGTAAGGAGATTAAACTAATGAAAACACTGACTCAACCACAGAGTTTTCTGTTTGGAAAAGCAAAGCAATAGACACTAGTGAGATATGCTGACATGCCATGGATTTGTAAAAGTGACAGTGGTATAAAGGTGATGGATATACACAGTGCTTTCAAAATGACCATGAAGCCTCTAAACCCTTTCTGACCCAAGATATCAGCTTATCATACAAAGCAGTCATCATGCCTCATAGAGTATACAACACAAATAGTATTTGCTTTGAATCCAGGGCCCATGAATGTCCAGTTTTAGACACAGTAGTTGCTACGATAAATCTTTCCACCAAAGCCACCCGAGC